GCACCTTCCAGTGGCAACCCAGATAAAAAACAGGAAGAAGGAAACATTGCTTTTCACCTGCTGCCCTCACTTTCTGACAAGATCATTTACCCTGTTGCTGCCGTGGCTGCATCTCTTCACTGATATTAGACCCAGTTTCTTCAAGCTTCTAACGTAGACTGAAGACCAGCAGCTCCCCAGGAATCCTTCAGACAGTCAGCCTGGATTCTCAACTACTGAATTCTCAGCCTCTCCAATGTGAAACAGATTACCCAGACTGTTCTGTAAGCCAATCTAAACCTCTTTTGATACAAATTCATTCTATGGGTTCTGTTCTAAAGAACCTTGGCCAATACACAAAAATGTGCTGCATTATTTGCAAGCCACAATCAATTTTTTTTTTTGAGAGGGTCTCCCTCTAGCCCCAGCTGTCCTAGAACTCACTATGTAGACCAGGCTGGCCTCGAACTCACAAAGCCTGCCTCTGCCTCCCAAGTGCTGGGATTACAGGGGTGAGCCACCACGCCCGGCACAATCAAATATTTTTAATATTTAAATATATATACATATATAATAGCCAATATGTGTAAACTGCTCCTTTGTACTGCAAGTCTTTTCTTGATATTCACAAAGAAAGTGGGAATGTGCTGAGAGGGATGGACTAGTCATTAATTTTTCTGAGTCCAGCATCTTTTCCTCCCTTCCAGCAACTCAGAACTCTTCTTTGATGTCTTAGAAAAAGCTCAAATCATCCCTGAATCTGTGTGGCAGCAGATGCCAGCTCTATGCATCATCCAGTTGGTAAGGGGCTGGGGATGACTTCAGGGCTGCACACCACAATAAAGCACTGTGATAAGCAGGGACTGCTATCCTTAGGAAGTTGTGCTTGGAAGGTTGGCCTTTGGCTGGCATCCAGAAATGTAGCTGGTCAATAATTTCCTCCCATGACATAAAACTTTCCTTAAATAATAAGACAGGTTCACAGTGCCCAAACTCTACAAACAATGTGGTTTGGGCTGAATACCTACTTTCCCACAGGGAGTCTAGGACTTTGGCAGCTACTAAGCCAAAAATGTCTTTGTGTCTAGCCCCCAACACAACCACAGGCATTTAGCCTCTGATAAGCTTCCCTACCTAGTCATAGTACTCTGCATGTGTCACAAGTTAATGCTGGAGTTGTGACATCTGTGCAGCTCCATTTGGAAGCCTGTAGCTGGTCTCCTTCAGACTTTGTCCAGATCCCTTTCCTTTCTGATTTTGGCTTGCATTATTTCTCTATAACAAATCTTGGGTATGCCAACCCTATTGTTAGCCTGATTGGCATTCTAGGGAATCAAACATGGAAATGATCTTGGAGATACCCATACAAATGTCAATCATCAAAGCTGGCCTAGACACACTCCCACTCCAGCCATCACCTCCAAGTTCCTTGCTTAGACTCTTCCTCCCCAGAACAACCAGAGCCCATCGCACAATGTGCAGCACTCTTCTTTTGCTTTCCTCAGTGACTGTCAATTCAACACCTCTGCCTCCTCATTTCAAGCAATTGTCAAAATTTCTGGTCCATTGAGGGTATTTCTTGTCCTACAGCCATGAAGCAAAGTTATTTTTTTTATAAACAATAAACTCTAGAATTAGGAAGATGGCTCAGTTCAGAAAGTGCTTGCCACACAAGTTGAGGACCCCAGTGAGAGACTTTACCTCAAAAAACAAGGTGGGTGGATGGACTAGAGAGAAATGATTAACAGCATATACTGCTCTTGCAGAGGACCTTCCCAACAACTCACAAGTGCAGCTCCAGGGTATTTGACATCCTCTTCTGGCCTCTGAAGGCATACACACACACACACACACACACACACACACACACACACACATTAAATAAAAAATAAAATCTTTAAATAAAAATGGAAAAATAGATGGTGATCCTGAGGATAACACTGGAGGTTGAACCCTACAAATGCACACACACAAATACTCACACATGCATACACACACATATACACACAAAAATAATGCATAAAAATATTACTGGTATCACAGGTCTTTATTTCCAGCACTCAGGAGGCAGATGTAGGCAGATCTCCGTGAGATCGAGGCCAGCCTGGTCTATATTGTGAGTTCTAGTCTAGCTGGGGCTACAGGGAGACCCTGCTTCAAAACAAAATGAAAAAACAACAACAAACAAACAAATACTATCATAGCTAGGGATGTGAGGTATCAATTTTAGTAGCGTATAATCTGATTTTTTTACTCTACCCTTATTTCTTATGTAATAAAATGGAAAGAAAACATATTTCACTAATATTGTTAACCTCTCTGTCATTTATTTCCTGTTCTATTTAGAAACAACTTATTTAGAGGCTAGTGCTAATAAAAGCCAAGGTACACAAGATATACAGATACCTACAAATATACATGTACATACCAATACGTGTATACACACTCCAATGTCTGCTTTTGTTATACCAAGTGTTTGCTTATCACAGAACATTTTTTTTTTGAGACAGGGTCTCCTTGTAGCCCAAGATGGCCTGGCACTTGCTTGATCTCATAGGGATTCACTTGCCTCTGCTGCTGGATTAAAGTCATGTAACACCATGCCTGGCCCACATAACATTTTTAACACTAAAACCTATAGTGTCAAAATATTTAGACTATAATAAAATAAGCCTGAAAACAAGAAGGTAGAATTATTAATTGAAGTTAAAAATACAAAATTATCATCAAATAATACACACAACTCTTCAAACTGAACTGAAATCAACATACACAATAGGTGCCATCAACAGATGCTTTGTAATGACTTTACAGATTAGGTCTTACTTAACAGATCATTGCTAAAGTTCCCCAAACAAGCACATATGATATTATGAAACAGTCAATAGAATGAAAACCTCGAGATTAAATGAATCTATCAGAAATGTTTCAGTTAATTAATTGTGGTGTTCTTGATAGACCAGATTGAGACTACCGTGTTGGAATCTAAATTCTATTACTACATGACTGTGCAATAAGGGGCAAGAAACTTAATCTTCAGTAAAATCAGCACTAGGGGCTGGAGAGACAGTTCAGTGATTAAGAGCTTGTACTTGTTCAATTCCCATGCCCGCATCAGGTGCCTCACAAACACCAGCCCTAGAGGATCTAATGTCTCTGGCCTCTGAGGGAACCTGCACTCACTTGCACATATCTACACTCAGACATAGACACATACACATAATAATTTAAAATATTTTTAAATTAAAGAATTGACAATAACATTTACCTTTATAGGATTGTTGCTATAATTAAATGTATTAATGTAGGTAAAGTGTCTAAAATAGTACCTGAGGCATATAAAGCATATGCAAGCTTTAGTTATAATTCTCATAATTTCACACTAAGAAAGCAGGAAATATACGTTATACTCCCATTTCCTCCATTTGAGTGACTTTTGACAATTCACTTGAAATCTTCCTAAGACTCTGTGAACTGAAGGAAAGGAGTTGATGAATCCAAATCTAAAAGTTCAAATATTTTAAAGAACTCTTTTTCATTAGAAATACCCATACCATAATTTCATCTGATTCTTTAATCGCATCGCCCTAACAGTCACCCTATGGACCATATTGCTTGTATCACTTATTTGATATTTATTTTCTACCTGTGAATATGTTCTTCACCCAGCCACAGACAATAACTTTAGGAACAAAGGGTTATTCTTCTCTTTATGAACATATAAATACTGGTTCTTCATTCCACCCTAATACATGTGTTGAAGAGATGCCCATCACTATTCTAGTGAGGTACTAAGGGAAAAGAAGACAGGTTTCTTATCTCAAAGAATTCATTATAGTAGACCAACCAATAAAACGAAATTACAATATGTTGTGGTAAATGTAATAATAAGGATAGTGTGATCAAATATACCTTGGTAACACAGAAAATGTGCCTTCAGAGGAAACGTACTAGAGCTTGAAAGATACATTTTCCCCAGATGAAGTTAAAACATAAAATGAAGTATTCTCTGTGTTATAATGTATCTCATACATAAATAACAAGAGTTACGGTATTGAGTTTTGATTTTTATACTCAGGCAGTGAAGGTCTTAGTCCCCCCTGAAGTGGACATCCCTGTTAGTTATCTGAAATAGAGATTATTCTTCAAATGTCCTTCTCTTCATCATGAACAAATCATTACCAAACCATCTATAACTTTTAACCATCATAGCTTTTTCACTGAAAAAACTATGTATAGAAAGAATGTACACGATTTGATGTGCACCCATAGTACATGAATTATCATAGTTGAGTCACCTAGCAATCGTATGTGAGAATACAAAATCTCTCATCAAATTTAAGGTAAACAATACAGTAACTATAGTCAACATGCTCTGCATTGTAGCCCAAGAATATATTCATCCTATAACTGAAAGTTTGTTCCTCTTGACCAATATCTAATCTTTATGCCTGAGATACTAGGAATCGCTGCTTTTCTCTCTGCTTCCATGGTCAATATTTTAAGAGTCTACAGATAAGAGATCTGAGACCACTCACCCCACATTGTCTGGATAATTTTATTCAGCACATTGTGCTCATTCATTCATGTTTTCACAAATGATAGAATGTGAGTTATTTTTCCCTGAATTTGTTCATTTCTCTTCATCTGCACTGACTCAATCCTAGACCACACCAAAACTATTTCATTGCTCTAACCAGTGATCCTTGATCAACTGTTGCTCTTCTTAAATATATTCTTCACAGTGCAGTTAAAATGGTAATTTAAAATAATATCACAGCTTTTTCATCTTAAATAACTCAGACCAAAATCCACTAGATGGGGCCTGTGCAGTGTCAGAACTCAACCAAGGAGACTGCCTGTCCTAGTTTGCTTTTCTGTTTCTATGATAAAACAATGACCAAAAGCAATTTGGGGGAGGAAAGGATTTATTTTAGCTTACAGATTATATATAGTCCATCATCAAGGGATGACAAGCCCAGATTCACAGGGGCACCCGCCATACCAGGTGATATACCCACTTGTGTAGGGCCTTCAGGGACTGTGGGTTTTTAAATTGTGGAAGAAGAGAACCGCCTAGGTACCTCATCAGTTATCATTCTGTGGGAAAGCTCCACAGGGCTGCCAGCGCAGGCGCTGTAGCTCTAGTGGAGCATTTCCCCACTTCGTCAGAATATCACGTGGATCTAACGGACAAGAAAGACAGGACTGCCCTGCATTACGCCTCTACCCACAACCATCCCGGTGTGGTGTGTCTCCTCGTAGTGAAGAAACACTGCAAAATAAATGCCTGGGATGACGAGTTGAGCACACCCCTGATTAAGGCTGTGCAGCGGGAAAATGAGGGCTGTGTGTCTATTTTATTAAAGAATGGAGCTGATCCACATGCTGTGGCTATATATGGTAATAATGCGCTACACTATGCTGTAGTTAGTGGGAACATTTCTATTGCTGAACAATTGCTCAACTTCAGCGCAGATATAGAAGGCCGAACGAAGCATGGATTCACACCATTTATGCTGTCTCTACGTCAAAAGCAAGAGAAGATGGCCGAATTTTTAAAACTCAAGGGTGCGGATGTCCATGTGGTGGTTCAGTGCAGAAGGGAGGCAACGGGTTCAATACCAATCCATAATTCTGTGAAGATTGGCACAGTAGATGACAGTCCATCAGCCAATGTTTCACCTCGTGAAATGAAACCTGAAAAACAGTGAAAATCAGTATGGAAAAAGTCTGCACAGATCAGTGCAGAAGAGAGTGGCACCCGAAAAAAGAACACTTTACCCAGTGAAGTCAAACCTGAGAAACCGGTAAAACCTCCATGGAGGAAGCTTAAAGGGGCCAGTACAAAATTGAATATCAGGATGACCCAGCACCCTTCATCAAGTGACTCAAACCCCCGCAATGACTTTACTTCTGCTGCCAAAGACCCTGTCCAGAGCAGCATGCAACCCAGTGCCATCGTGACTGAGTGTCCTTCTTCGCCAGTGATTCAAACCCCCGCAGTGACTTTACTTCTGCTGCTGAAGACCCCGTCCAGAGCAGCATGGAACCCAGTGCCATCGTAACTGAGTGTCCTTCTTCGCCAGTGACTCAAACCCCCGCAATGACTTTACTTCTGCTGCCGAAGACCCCGTCCAGAGCAGCATGGAACCCAGTGCCATCATGACTGAGTGTCCTTCTTCGCCAGTGACTCAAACCCCTGCAATGACTTTTCTTCTGCTGCCAAAGACCCTGTCCAGAGCAGCATGCAACCCAGTGCCATCGTGACTGAGTGTCCTTCTTCGCCAAGTGACTCAAACCCCCGCAATGACTTTTCTTCTGCTGCCGAAGACCCTGTCCAGAGCAGCATGCAACCCAGTGCCATCGTGACTGAGTGTCCTTCTTCGCCAAGTGACTCAAACCCCTGCAATGACTTTACTTCTGCTGCCGAAGACCAAGTTGAAGAGGAGCAAGACTATATAGGGGTCACACCCTTCAGCTCTTTCCGGCATAGAATTCCTGTTCATAGTTCTTGCCTCACCGTTACCCGTGCTGTTAGCCTTCATACTGACTCCAGGAAGAATACACCAAATACTGCTCCTGCTCCTGCTCCTGCTCCTGCTCCTGCTCCTGCTCCTGCTCCTGCTTGTGGAGATGCCTCTGATCCTGTTCACCTTACTGAACCCACTCCAGCTCTTGGCAGCAGAGGTGTACTGATGTTAATGTTGTTCGTGATATTAATGTTGCTGCACTTCCTTCTGCAGTGCCTGCCAACAACATGGGAGAAAGACCAAATTCTGTAAGAGCAGCATGGGAAACCCAATAGAAAAGAGTTTGTAATAAAACTATTGGAAAACTCAGAAAAAAAAAAATTGGGAACACAGGATGCAATGATGGATGGTGTAGTGATGACACAGATGGCATAGAGTCTGGAGATGTTGCAAAGCGGACAAGGCGTTTAGGTACCCAACATGCATTGTCAGCATTCTGCGGAAAAAACATAAACATGCCCCCTCCCCCAAATGAGGATAAGGGAGGATGTCACAATTTATCAGCTGTAGAGTGACCTAAAGGTGAAAACAAAGAGGGCGAGAGGGAACACATGGTAAAACGGACAGTTAGTTTGGTAGCGGTGACTGGAAACTGCCAGGGGCATAATTTATAGTGCCTTGACCCTGTGGAGCAAAAGAGGTACGTATGTACCAAGCAGGTGTCCAAGGTAACATACAAGAAACAAAATGACAAGAGAGGGAGGACACAC